GTGAAGTTGTACATATGCATAGTTGTCATTTATATTAACTGAGCTAAGAGAATTTTATTGTTGAACATGCTGAAAAAACTAGGTCAGAAATTAGGAGCGATTAAATTTTCTCTAATCTTTGAGAGTTAGTTTATAAATTTTATATCATTGGAATCGTGAGATGAAATGCTACATTTTTCATGTTACAAGTTTTTTATTTTATGCAAAGAATAGCAAGTTACAGATTTGAAGGCATGAACGCACGCAAAAGAAAGCTGGAGGACAGGGATGAAGTGTCTCGGCCTGGCACGCCTGGGCCTTGTTATTTCTACTTTCCACACCCCCTGATCCACTATTTGCACCCCATTTGCTTATTTTGTATATTTTTCATATTTTCTTTTCATTTTTATATTTATTGATTTTATTTATTTTTCTGAACCATAAAAAATCATGAAAAATATTTTCTTTATTTTTCGCATTTTTTTATTTTATTTTTTGCATAAAATAATAGTTTATTAGAATAATATGCTTTATTTTCTTAAATAAATTGTAAATATATTTAATAAATACTATACATTTTTATTTTATTATTTATATACATAAAATATCCATTTTCCCATACATTTTAATTTTTAATATTTATACATAGTATTATTATTATTTTTCTTGTACATAAATGGATAAAATAAATAATATAGAACATATTTTTCTTTTAATAAAAAAAACTAGGGTTTCACCCTTTCAAAAATAACAATATTATTTTTCTTATTTTTAGGACTTAAATAATTTTATTTTTTCATACATAAAATTAATACAAGACATTTTTGCATAAATACATTTTATTTGCATATTTAAATATTTGTATATTTATTTATCTTGTACAATAATTCAATTGGGTTGTAATAGTATTTTAGGGTTTTATTTTGTGCAAATATCCCCATTCAAAAACTTGTATCCCCCCTCCCATAATAATTGTTGTAATAGTTTAGTTTACTTTACGCAATTTATTGCTTTCATATACCATGTTAGTAAACTAGGGTTTTGCATGATAAGACCAAAAATCAAACAAATAGCAAAGACCTAATACAAGACAAAAGCATGTAAAATGACAACACATTGCACACAAGCACCTTTAGGGTTTCACCCACTTGGTTGCCTAATAAAATGGCCATGGTATGCATGCAAAGTATCTTGGCAAACAATACAAACAAATAAGATCATAGTCCCTCGATGACGCTATCAAAAGGTTGCCTAAACAAAGATGATCTTAGTCCCTCAAAACTTGCTAAGATACTTAGCAACATTGTTATCATGGTCATACGATGACCCACGCCCGTCCCGTTTAACATCCAAAGATAAGTTTTTTTACCAAAGCAATGGTAAATCAACAATGTCAAAGGAATAAAAATGTATAGGAAAGACATTTGAGTAGGGTAGATAGTTCCTAGTTACTTGCTCTCTTTCAAAACAATCCTTGCTATTTTCAAAAACAATCACACACGCACTTCAAAACATTTCCAAACAACTTTCAAAACATTGAAACATTTTTCAAAAGACAAACATCTTTGTATACATTATTACGAACGAGAATCATTACAAAGATTGCCTAAAAGATGGCCTCTTTTCAAAATACTTTCAAAACCACACAAAGCACCATTTCAAACAATTTCAAAAGCAAAGCAAGTGATCTAAACAAGTAACTAAGAGCCCATGGAAAACCATGGATGAAAAGGGTGCTAATACCTTCCCTTTTCATAATCTACCCCCCGAACTCAAGAAAACATCTCAAAGGTCTTTCCTGTGCTTTTTTACCTTTCCTTTTGGATAAAAGAAAAGTCGGTGGCGACTCTTGCTAACCACGACATTTGCAAACACAAACGCAAAACCTCAAGCCAGTTCTCCCACCGTATCACACCATGGCTAGAGGTTTTCGAAATAGATTACCTTAGAAACCCAAGGCACAGACCGTCATAGATCGAAACAACCCAAGATTGGGATTCAGGGGGTGATTTCGATTGAGATAGGCCTTCGTTTAGTTTTGAAACTAATAAAATTTGCATGATTCGGTGTTGTTTTCATTTGTTTCGATTGAAACAGCAGCTCAATTGGAAAGGCAGGCGCATGTAAAGGGAAAGGACCTGGGTTCGATACCCGGGTCTGAAGTTTTATTTTTCTAACATTGCTTTGCAGATTCCATGCGTTGCATAATCAAGCGCCCATCACGTGCCTTCATGTTTGGGCCATCAAATGCCATCATATAGAGATCTAACATTCAAAGCGCGTTGTACATGATGAACCCTCAAGGGGCAAGCCACACAGGATCTGGCGGACATTGAGCTCCTTTCATTTAGGCCCAGTGAATTCAAATCTCACACCTCCCATTTTAATTTTGCACACCAGGCCCATTTGCATTTTCTCTTTTATTTGTTCTATCATTTTGTTTATTTAATCATTTTTTTCATAATAATATAAAACCACAAAAAATAATAGACTTAGGTTTTCCTAAATTAATTTAATTTTCATAAATTGATTAAATTTGACCTTTATTTAATTAATTTAAAATCAATTAGACTTAGATTTATTTCATTCAAATTTTCTTAACAAAAATACAAAAAAAAAATATTAGAATTATTTTTCTTGTATTTATTTAATTAATTAGGATTAAGTTTGGTCTTCCTCATTTTAATTTTAAGTATTTTCTTAATAAATAAACAAAACCAAAAAAAGTTTTTATGTTTACTTAGCAATTTCTTAGGGTTTTAGATGTACGTCTCTATTTCGCGCGCATTATCTTACTCTCGTATTTTTTATAATAATGTACCTGCTGACAGTATCTAATAGATTAAACTAGGACTTTATCGCTTTCTTTATTTTCCTCCCAACTTTTTGGATATGTAAATACCCCTTCCCTGAAGCATTATAATAGCGTAGGATTTACAATTCCCGCATTTTGTATTGCTTTCATATTAACTGCTAGATGTATGACTAATAGGATTGTATGATAAGACTAAAATCAAAAGTTAGCAAATTTAAATTTAAAGATTAAAATAACTGAACATAACATTACACATATACACCTCTAGGGTATCCTACTTCGGTTGCCTTCGGAAAATAGTCACAACTCTCAAAACGTGAGAGGTTTTAGTGGCTACCCTCTGGTTCAAAAAGATCATGAGTCCCTCGATGACCCTCTCGATGTTGCCTCGGTAAAAATATGATCTTAGAACCCTAGGGTGGTTACTAAAGCTTCTTGCCCAGTTGTCTTTGTGACTATAAATCGTCCCTTCGAATCTCCCTCAAACATCCAATGATAGGGCTACCTACTCACTAATAGTAGGATAGCACTGTCTAAAGGATAGGAGGAAAATAAAGAACTTTTTCGAGTACAAGTAGATAGTTGTTAGATGCTTACTCAAAACAAACTTTTACACTTACACAAACAGGTTTCAAAAACATTCGCTTTGTCAACACTCTTGAGGACTGATACAAGAGTTATCATAAAGCGAATTGCCGCTCTAAGGCATTTTCAAAGAAATCTTTTCAAAACACATAAAGCACAAGGTATTTTTAAAAATGAGCTAAACGTCTAAGAGCCCGTAGAAAACTACAGATGGAAAGGGTGTTAAAAACTTTTGTTTCCATAATCTACCCCCCTTACTCAGAAAATTCTCGAAAAGGTCTTTTTTTTGTTCTTTTCACCCTTTCCTTTGTTGGATAAAAGAAAAGTAGATGGCGACTCTTGCTTACCATAACATTTGCAAATGCAAAACCAGTATAACAGTCGGTTCTGCCACCGTATTACAATACAATTTTCAAAAGTTAACTTGAATTAAAGTTTAAAATTGCAACACAATGAAAAGAATATCAACATAACTTGAATTTATTTACAAGTGAATTAGAAAAAAAAGTTAAATTAAAAGTACTATGTATAATTATATATTTACATTATTAAATGTTAAATTGAAATAGTAAAAATAAGTACAATAAAAATGTAAATGAAGAAAAAGTATAGATGCGCTAAGAGAAAATGTATGCTTGGACCATCCTTGAATGCCTTCACAATAACAAAATCGTTAGTAGCATAAGAGGGATAAATGAAATCAAATTAAGTTGCAACAATTTAGAACATGTTTTAGTAATCACGAGATATATAATCGAAATGAAATTTGCATGATGAACATGAACAATTCAAGATCCAAACAATCGATTATTCAAGTATTTCAATTACCAAAGAACTAAAACCAAATAAACTCATGCTATTATTCTATCCAATATTCAAAACATGGAAAGTTAAGCTCAAAGAGAACTAAAAGCAATCAAACCAAATTCGGGAAGCAACCATGTAATCTATTATTATTCGATAAAATTTAACACAAACGTGTTCAAACAACTCAACCAAACAATGGTATCACAATTGAATTTTCTCATATGAATTTCAAACTCAAATACAACCAGGTTATGGCTAAAACTTCTTCATATTGAAATCCAACAAAAACATGACACGACAATAAACTTCGCTCCATATTAAAACCAAGAATAAAATTGTGATTACAAATTATAATCGAGAACCTTGTAAGTTTATTACACACAAAACAATATCAACAAGAACTTCAATATCCGGTTTCAAAAACAAGATGCCAACACAATAAATTCTACATTGGAACCCTTAAACTCATTAAGACAAACAAGCGCAATAAACTTCCTATTTGTTATCACCCGAGAAAGTAATAAATTGTCAACAAGTACTAACACGAGCTTCAATTTGCAGGATTAAGTGAAACAAGTATATCATCCCATTCATAAACAACAACACTCAGAATTTGCACTTAAACAAAACAAACCAAAGATTGATGAAAATGGCAAAAATACATTTACCGAAACGTATCGAAGAGGAAGGTTGTTGAACGAGAGATGAAACTTCGAGAATACGAAGAGCTAACGGAAATCGAGGTTGAACAATTGTGTTGTTGAGTGATACTTGGTAGCTACTGAGTATGGAGAAGTGCATAGCACATGCATAATCAACGAACGGGGGGAGTCCGACTGGGGTTTGAAGGTGGATTGACGAGTGGAATAGTGAGGTAGCAGGGACCAGTGGTGTTGAATTGGCGGGGTTTCCGATTGTGTGTAGCACACGGACAATTGGGGAGTAAGGTGGAGAATGTTGCGATGAAGAAGAAGAGAGAATTATTGCCTTCTCTTTCTTTCTCAAATCCAGCTATGTTTGCGTTTTTTCTTTTCTGATTGTATCCCCCCTTGTTATCACAACAACATTACCTTTTTATAACCAAATCAATTACGTTTAGCTAATTTATTAAATGTCCAAAACACCATTTAATGATAAAAATGACATAACAACTGAAAGGATAAAATAAAACGCATTTGAAAATACTTTTGTTTTTATTTTTCGAAATAAAAATGAGACATCTAAAATTATCAAAAACGATAAAAAATGGACACTAAATTAAATGGAAAAAATGAAATGAACACATTAAAATAAACTACAAATCATAAAGATTAATAAAAAATTACTCAAATGGTCAAAAATAGAAATAAAATGAGAATAAAAATATCCAGCTGTAAAACACTGACGGTTATGAACGAGACTTCAAACTGTACCGAACAATAAAGCGAGCACACCGACATGATCTATGCGAAACGTGGATTCATAAAAAGTCAGTTAAAGGTGAAAACTTGAAATATTTTCTCGCTAATTTTCCGCACAATATCAAATTGCTTTTAACGACCTGTCCGTAAAACCGAAATATCAATATTATCAACATATAAACAACTTAGAGAAATGCAAGAAGTGATTAAAGAGATAAAAATGTGTGAAGTGAAATAACATATATTTTTCAACTATAAAACAATGCAAACACCGATTTAAACATACTTTTGGACAACTTAAATACGACTAACAATGCAAAATGAGATGAGTGAAGATGTTTATTGATGATTGTGGCCAAATAACAAAATATGACATAATAATGTGACTAAAAAATTTAGGGGCTAAATTTAGGTTGCAACACTATCTCTTCACGTGAGACCTTTGATCTTCACTTCTAATCTTTAGAGGCTTCAGAGTATGTAAAATTTGAAGCATGCTTAGAATGATCAAAACCAGTCTTCAGAACCTTCATCTTTAGAGTCTTCAGAACACCGTTTAATAGAACCTTGTATTTATAATCTTCAGCACGTTGGTCTTCAGAGCTATGTCTTGAGAATCTTCAGAAATTGTTCAACAGAACCTTGTCTTTAGAATCTTGAGAACCTTGGTTTCCAAAGTCTTCAGAACTCGTTCAGTAGAACCTCGTCATTAAAATCTTCCAAACCTTGGAGTAAGAGAGCTTGTAATATTTAGAGCTTGAGAACCCTTCAGAAGTTCTACTATAAGAGTCACAGTTAGAAACAATAAAACTAATGCTCACCAGAAGTGTTGTTTTAAGAAGCATTCTAAGCAACGACACATGCACTTGCATCACTTAATGTGTTGATTCCAAAATCTGATGATGTCGCATCTCAATTCTTCAGAGTCAGAACCTGTTAGAAAAAGTTAAACACTAAACAAATAATTAGAGTACTAAATTGTTATCTAATCACCCATGTAATGTTATCATCAAAACTTAAGGCCATATGCAGAACCAAATCTTGTTCTTACAATCTCCCCTTTTTTATCATGACAAAACTATGTATTTTAATAAACAATTTATATTGGTTTAATCACATAAAAATAATTTAGAGTTAGCTAAACATTCTCCTGAGTTTAAGACTTAAAGAAGTTTTGATAAAATAAAATGAATCAATCAAAACGAAGGATTACTTCCCTGATTGAAGAACTATCAAAAGTGTGACTAGCGATACATAAATCTTCATCTCATATTCTGGCTTGCAATCAGAAGACGATGATGTACCAAAATTTGGTTGAACTTGTCAAACCTTCAGAGTCTGGTTGAAATTCCTTTTGCCAAAGAATAAATAACCAAATACTTTTGATTCTCTAAATTCTGAAATTCCTTTAAAGCTTCCAAGATTGCTTGTTAAAAAAAATCAGTGAACTTTCTCAAGGTTCCTGAGTCAAGCATTGTTAGTGGCAAATACATCAGAACATGTTTGGGAACCAGATTCCGAGAATAAACATATCAAAATCATATCACTCCCCCCCCCCCCCCCCCCTTGTCAGAAATAAAAAAGATTTAGAAAATACAAAAGAAACTTTTCATTTAACCAAGGATCAATTGTACAAAAGTTTTAGAAACACAAAAATCTAGAGTTCTAAAAACAAGGTCAAAAACAAGGGTCTAAGGCTTCGGTGGAGGAGGATGCAAAATCATGGCCATGAAATCCTTCATCATGTTGGCAAGCAAAGTGATAGAAGCATCATGACGATCAACTCTTTCATCTTGCTTGTCTAAACAAGCTTAGATTAAAGCATTGGTCTTCTTTAGCTCATCCAGAGTTTTCTTTATCTCAAAAGGATTATCTTCAGCAGCAGTAGTCTTCAACAACCCAAAAGTTGAATCGTCTTCAACAACATACTTCCCCGACTCAACCAAGGCAGAAGCAGCATCATCTAAAGGCTGCAATTCCATAGCAGAAACAACAGCTTCTTCTGGAATCTCTACTTCTGGAGCGGGCATGTAGATGATAATGGGAGTAGGTGCTTTAGAACCAAGACAAGTTGTGTACTTATTCACATATTCTATATGACATAAGGCTTTAATGATGATGGAGTTATCATTCATCCACTTCCTGAAGTTTGTCCAGATGAAGTTTACCCAGTCAGGACCCATACTGTCAGAAGAACTCTCCAGAGAATATTGAAGAGTGTCCATAGAAATGTACTCAAAACGATATAAGAATTCATCAAGCGAGTTTAGATTAAAGTGTATTATATGAAGGAAAATGTTAAAATGTGTAGAGTATATTTTGAGTGTTTATTTGGTATGGTGAAAAATTCAGATGAAGTGGAGGAATTTTGAATATGAAAGATACATGGAGAGTGTATGGGGGTATCAAAATTAGAATCTTTCAATTCTTGAAAGGAAACATCTGAGTCATATAACTCATAATGAAAGGTTGAGACTTTGCCTTCTTCAGAATCAAATAAGATCATAATATCTTCATCTGAACTAGAAGAGGTTTCAGTTTCAAGTTGTTTTATAAACTTAACAGTTTAGTTTAAGAAGGAAAGAATGGATTGGGAATTAGAGGGAGTGATTGTTTAAAGAGGAGTAATTTTGGAAGGAGAAACAAAATGTGAGGAAGTAGATTAATATATATTGTCTTGACACGATACACTGGCACTTTTTGGTGCTTGAAGAACTCTTATCAGATTCCTGAAGGAAAGATGCTCTTTTCCTTTTAATGATAAGAGGCACTTCAGACATCTCAGGAAGATTATCAGTATAACTGCCAATCTTAGCATAATCATATATGCAACTGAGAACTCGAAAAGGAACAACTCTTGGAGGGTTAAGAACAAGCTCCTCAACAGCTTTTGGAGAAATGTTGGGTGGTTCTTTCTTCAACAGACAGTCTTCCAAATATCATAGAGTAGCCTCTGGAGGTTTAACAGTAGCAAACATGTATCCATCTTTATTACCAGGTACAAAATATGATGTAGAATTTGTAACATGAATTTATGGAGGGTTGATAACATAAGATATAAGTCTGAGAGACTTCAAACAACGTCTATCAAGAAGTCTTCCAAAGCACATAACCAGAAGATCTTGAAAACTTTGATCGAAAAGAAACTTCACCAAGTGATAATTCATCAGAAAGATTGTAATGAGTCTCCCCAGAGGGTATCCACTTAAAGCATCAGAGGAATTAGATTTAGAACTTATAATCTTATACCTTAAATACTTAAAAAGTATAAAAGGAAGATTAATCTTCTTATCATAAGCTAGATTGAATAACATAGACTTCTCATTGTTGTACCCCAAAATTTGCCCTCTCATTTCTCAAAGGATCATCCTGGACCCTCGAGTTTTCTTCTATCAAGTTTCAAGTCTTGGATGACAAATTTCCAAGAAAAGTCATTCACAAGGGCAAAATGGTCAATTGCACATTGAAAAGTCAAACTTTGACTTTTAGATCAAAATCAATTTTCAAGAATCATATTTCATCAAGGTGTGTCAGAGTATGAAGTTTGTTTCATCAAGAAAATCAAAAGACAAGATTATGTTGAAAAAGTCAAATTTCTAAATACTTAGAAATTTTTCTAAGTGTTTAAGAAATATGATAAATTCAGAACTTCTGGCCAGATTTTTACCATGATGCAAGTTGATTCTGGAAGAACTTATAACACAAGAGTTATAGATCTCAATGAGATCTAAAACATTGTAGAACAAAACTTCTTCTATAAATGTTGGGATTTCAAGTTATACATCTTCAAAAACACGTCCCTGAAACTTAAACATTCAGTAAATTCTGGACCTTTCCAAAACAAGATTTAGTTAGAACTTCTGGGCCAATTTTCATGTAGATCCAGTCAGAATTTGCAAGATTAATTCAAAGAGGGTTTACAAAGCGTGTTATAAGCTTCCTGGAAAGTCTGAGAACTCCCTCAGAATATGTTGGAGCAAAGAGATTCAAAGATCACAAGTTAGAGTTTGTTCTAAGTTGCGTTGATGCTGAACTTCTGATCCAGAATTAAGCTATGATGCATAATCTCATATTGCAGGATTTATGGTTTGATAAATCTCATCATCATTTAATGCTCACAACCACTTTTGAGTTTTTATCCAAAGGATTTCCCCACGTGTGAGATAGAAGTACCATTGTTGTCCTTGAAAAGCAAACTTTTGTACAAGTTTATGTTAGGCCCATGCTTTGCTTTTGCCTCTGAGGGTACTTTTCCTTAATTAATTCTTACAAATCCAGCTTAGGCGCGGCTAAAAGATGCTAACCACCATACTTGTTTAACTTGATTCACGAATAAGTCAGCGCTCTAGCATGATGGTTGTACTCTTGACTTCTCCAAGCTACAAAATTCTTGCCTATAAATGGAACTTCATTGGCAACTGTAAAGAGGTCAAAAAAATTGAAAAGAAGAGCCTTGAAACCTTGTTAAAATCTCCCAAGAACTTAAAGCTACAAACACAAAAACAAAACCTGCTAGTTCTTAATTTTTGCATTCAAACTCCATTTTTCCTAAAGTGTTTCTTGACCAAGTCATCTATATAGCTTCTGATACACATTTAGAAGTCATCCCAACTTCTGTTTTCACACTGCACTTCCATCTCCACCAATT